CACCAGTAGATAGGTAATTCAGAGTAATTGCAATCCTTATTTCTATTATAATTGCTCTTCTCATCACCGTGTAGTCTGGAAATACATGCTCTCAAAAGTTTCAGTAAAGACGAAAAAAATCAGATGTTCTCGAATTTTTTCTAAACAAATCACGGTCACTCCGCAAATCACGTGTTTATTCCGTGTTAAATATTGCATTCACATGCTCTTTTTCTCTTCTTTCGACGAACTATAAAATAATCTGCCGAAATTTCCGTGCAAATAGCTGGGTCCATTGTACAGAACCGAACTGAAACACCCCACTATGTTGCTCCGTGAGGACAGGGTAGTGCACGTGTACGTTCGTCTCTCAACGTTGCACGTGCAACTTTATTTCCATGACGCACAGAAAAGAAGCAACGTGTGGACGCATAATATCGGACACGCTCGGTGCTCATGCGACTGGAGCGTTCTCTACTTCCTGGTTGTCGGAACCTCTTTGCGTCACGATGTCAGTTTTCTAACCGCTCGGGCATTCAAATGACAGTGCCGGGATATGCGACTCGCTCCAACACCCAGATTAACCCTTTAAGCCGGGAAAGGGTGTTGAGGCACCGCCCCCAACCGGAACGAGCTCTAAGGTCCTGACCGATCTCCCGGCATGTATGATACTGTATGTGTAGGCATGCGCAGTGCAGTAAGTGTAAGTGCGGGTATGTAAGAGATGAGCGAACTGAACGAACACGTAGTATTCTGACTGGCTTGTAACTGACAATGAGGAGGTGTATAAGTTGAATTCTGATGTCCAAGTCTCTGTGACGTCATTCGATTTCCGGGTGGGAGCCTCAAAGAGAAGGAGGATATGTAATGAGTATATTGAAACGAGTTGAGTTTCCCACAGACCATCGAAGAATCGAGATCGTCCGTCAAACAATTCCAACAGTTCATTCATTCATATCCACACCTCACCCCTACCCCTTTCTGACGCTGTACACTCAGACAGGATCTCTGGGATGGAGAGTGGGTCGATTTTCACATTAATTAAAATATTAACAATTTCTTAACTTTCTTTCCCTTTGTCAATTCTCTGTAATTTTCAAAAAGAGAACCTCTAATGTTTGAGGAATTCCTAACATTTTTAAGCACTTTTTGTTGAAATTCATTTTTAATATATAATGAAATTTCACTGTTAAAGTTAATAAGCTATATGAACTGATTTTATGGCGAATATGGAAAATTTATGGACTTTTATTCTAATATGTACCAAAACCTAAAATATGGAAAAATGAAAGTTTCATTTCTCAACTCTATACGTTGAGAAACAAAGATAATGTAAATTAGTATCGATATTAGCTTGTTTAGTAAAAATGAAATATGTATTTACATAGAAATCCGTTCTGTGCTCATCAGCTTCTGAGAAGTACCTCCGCACTACAGCACGTGTATATCACACCATTCAACACAACAACCGTGCTTTCTCCTTCACGTACTAGAAAATAATGAGAATGAGTTTTCGAGTTTCTTCTTGTAAGCTTCACTTTGGTCACGATCAGTACTCACGCGACTGCAGCGATCCCCTTCCTAGTCGTCGGATCCTCTTTTCGCCACGACGCAAGTTTTCTAACCGCGTGACATTTAAATGGTGGTGCGGCGCATGTGACCTGCCCCGTCACCCAGATGGGGCGAGAGGTCACAAAATCAGAGCGTAAAGGTAGGTATGTCAAGGTCGCATGGCAAGGTACCTAGCTTACTCGGGTTTGCGGGCACTGCGTTCCGAGCGACTGGCGCGAAAGTTAAAAGGAAGTGTACAAATCGCTCTGGAGTGAGGGTACATCACTGGCTATGGCAAAATTATAATTATTATAAACAAAACAAGCAGTTGCTTGGGAGGCCCTGGTCTTCTGTAAAGTATACATAACATTTTGTAGCATAAAATGTATGTAATGTAATAAATATAATATATGTAAAATTTTATATAAAAATATTAGTTTTCATTTACATTCGTACATAAAGTACTTGAATGAAGATAAATATTTTTATTTACTAAAGATGGGTCTATTCTTACGGGGGGGTGCAAAAGAACGTTGTGCTTGGGGACCCCGCAATACTAAATCCGGCCCTGCCCATGACAGCATTTCGAGAAGTTAGGTGACAGTTATTACTTCACGTTTAGCTACTCTACTAAAGCAAAGCAATGATCTATTAAAATGTAATAATACATCGGTCAGATTTTGAAGTCAATTGAGAGTAAAATTAAACATTTTGATTTCGTAAATTGTTTACAATAGGGGGCAGCCATTGCATTAACTTCCTACGTTAAGGTTTGCAGGGTTAACAAAGATTCTAAAAGAGCCCTTCTAAAAGAGCTGCCATTACGCAAGCAAGAATTGTTTACTTATGGAGACGTATTCATAACAAGCGGAACTGGCAGTATTTTGCTATTGCAGTGTACTAAATAAATTCAATTCGAGTTCAATGAATGATGAATTTAGCCTTGTTGCTTCAAACTTGAAGTTAAATGAGACAGTAAGAGATAATAAATCGTTTTGCGGTTCTCACACTTAACCAATCTTAACAAATAAAGTGTCAAAAGAAAGAAGAGATAATAAAAATCACGTTTACTTTATAAGTATTAACTTTTGTTGAAAAAAGCCACCTAAATAAGAAAGAAGCTAATGTAATCCCGAAGTGCACGATGCACTCAACGGTTTGTTACTTGACATCGATCACGCACAATTCGGAAAAGTGCCTTAGAGCTTTAAAACCTGATATCCCAAGTGCCTCACGCCGAATAATACAAAGTGTGATCTGGATACCTCGAGTTCGTGTTAAGAGAGTGGCGGGCAATATCTCGAAAATATACATGTTTCGTTAAAATATATAAAGAAGAGCCAAAAAACTGGTACACTTGCTTAATATCTGGTCCCCGCGAGCAACCAGAAGTGCCGCCACACGACGTGGTATGGAATCGAGTAGTTTGAAGAAGTACTGGAGGTAATTGACACCAAGAATCTTGCAGGGTTGTCCATAAACTCGTAAGTGTACGTGAGGATGGAGATCTCTTCTGAACAGCAAGTTGCCATGCATCCCAGATATGCTGAATAATTGAATCGAATTATTGCCTTATTTTACGTGGCGAGACTCAGGTCATTAAGTCTGCTCTTCCGTCTGACCACGCAAATTTCGCTACGCCAACTAGCAGAGAAAGGAGGTGTTTCTTGGGCGAGAAACAGGCGATTTCAATTTAGCTCAGAGGCGTCATTTAGGTTTGAGGATGTTTCACATGCAAGTAAACCTACTAACATGGGACAGCCGGATTTACTTCCCCTCCGAAGGAAGGCGCGCGAAGGAGTTTTTCGCCCTTAAAGATCACGGCTTCGATCGGGTTTGAACCCGATCAACCCGTACAACAGTCCGGTACGCTAACCATTACACCATCGCCGCGCGCAAATAATGTTCATATCAGGGGATTTTGGTGGCCAGTGGAAGTGTTTAAATTCAGAAGAGTGTTCCTGGAGCTACTCTGTAGCAATTCCGCACGTGTCGCATAGTTTTGTTGGAATTGCCGAAGTCCGTCGGGACGGGGGGGAGGAGTAGGGGATCAGTAATAATGCTTACGTAGGTGTCACCTCTCAGAGTCATATCTAGACATATCAGGGGTCCTATATCACTCCAAATGTACACGTTCCATACCATCACAGAGCCTCCATAAGCTTGAAGTCACCTGTTGACATGGTTTCATGGGGTTGTCGCCGTACTCGAACTCGTCCATCCGCTCGAAACAATGTGAAACGAGACTCGTCAGACCAGGCAATGTGCTTCCAGTCATCAATAGTCCAATGTCGGTGTTGCCGGGCCCACGTGCGGCATAAAGCTTTGTGTCGTGCAGTTATCAGGGGTATACAAGTGGGCCATCGGCTTCAAAACCCCATATCTATAATGTCTCGTTGAAAGTTCGCACGCCGACACTTATTGATAGCCCAGTGTGGAAATCTGCGCAAGACCTGCACTTCTGTCATATGTAATGATTCTCCTGTAGTCGTCAGTCCCGTTCTTGCTCGATCTTTTCGCGGCTTATGCGATACCGGAGGTTTGATGTTTTGCTGGATTCCAGATATTCGCGGAACACTCGTGAAATGGTCGTACGGGAAATTCCAAATTTTATAGCAACCTCAGATATGCTATGCCCCATCTCACTTGCGCCGACTATAACACCACGTTCAATCTCACTTAAATCGTGATAACCTGCCTTTGTAGCAGTAGTAACCAATCAAACAGCTGTGCCAGACTCTGGTAGTCTTATGTAGTCGTTGCCGACCGGAGCGCCATATTCTGATTGGATTCCAGATCTCTTTATTTCAAGACGCAGGGCTGTACCAGCTCTTTTGGACCTTCAGCGTACACATCCAGATTTATCTGCACCGTAAATTTGTAATATGTTAATGTATTTGAATAATTGTAATAAAGTCATGTAATTTACTAGTTTCAAGACGGAAATATCAATATCATCAATGTCATAAATTAGACAACCCTGCATAAAACGGAAACCCCCTAATCCGGAATGTTTTTGGACCTGATCAATTCCGACTTAGATTTTATTGTAGTAGAATGTAAAAACAGTTGAAATGCCGACATGGTTGGACGAAGTGGCTGGAGCGTGGGCCGACTCAACGTCTCGGTCGGAAGAGTCGCGCGTTCGAGTCCCGCCGTAGGCATTATTGCGTGTCCCTTGTCTTTCATGTATGTGTGTGGTGGTGTAGTGCACATAAGTGTAGATATAAAGAATGAGGATAGGAGAAGGAAGGGGGGGAAAGATCGCGTACAGTCCACGGCCCGTTTGTTAGGGAACTACTCCGGTATTTACCTGGTACCCATCGGAGAAACCACTGAAAACCCCCGATCAGATCGGCCGGCCGCTAGAATTCTCCTCCAGACAGCGACGAAATTCGACCTATCGGACAAGCTAGTGTCAAAAATACTGCCAGAATGTAAGGAGAGGAGAATGGAAATAAAACACACAATGAAACACGTAACAACATTTAATGGTGCCTGCGTCGATGAGCGGCGCGGGCAATAAATATTACACAGATGGCGCTTGCGTGCGGGCGAGTGGGCGAGCGCGTGTGGGCGGGGCGCAGCGCATGGCGCGCGCGCTCACAGACGAATGCCGGGGTTGGTGGAGGCCACATAGTTGAGCAGCTCCTCGCTGTCCTCGCATACGAAGGGCTTCTCGTGGTAGCAGGCCACGTCGTGCCACGCGATGCCGTCATTGTACACATTGTTCAGGACCTGTGGACAAAAAAATCACTTTTAAAAATTTCGAAAGAGTAGGGGGCGTGTTTTGATGACTAAACATCGTCAAAAAATATCAAGAACATGATCTTAAAGTGTTATAAAATACTATAAAATAAAGAAAAAAGACATCACAAAATTGATAAAAAACAGTTCACATGAACAACTCAAGCTTTTGAATGTGTTATTCATGTAATTGAGACTTCTTTCTTTGGTTCAAGTGAACTCAGCATGCAAACGTTTTGTTTGTACTGTTCTTTACCAGGAAATCTCGTCCTTCTGTTATCCCGAAATTGGCCGGACAGACAATAGCTTAATAGTCAAAATCGATGAAAAATGTATAAATACATCATCCAAATGGATCATTTGCTCTTATCATAACATAAAATTAATGTCTGGACTAAAAATAATTGTTCTAAAATGAAAAGAAAAAACTGATATTTCATTAAAATATACCCCCTAGTAATGAGTGGAAATGAATTGACACTTGGAAGAACAATTCTTATCGAAAGTATCCCAACAAATTACGAATAGGAGACGTATATATACAATAATAAACAAATATTACTCTGATTTTCTTATTCCGAGTTTGGAATTTTTACAATAGAGTGATACTGAAAAAAAAATTTGGATGTACAATGTAAAGTAATATGCATGTAAACCACTGTGTATTCTGTTCAAAAGCATAACAAGGCACTATATCGAAATTTTGTCTGCTGATTAAGAGGAAGTTGAGAGAAAATCCCTGACGATATGTGAGTCAATGGCCGCAAACTATTTTATTGACATATATATTTAACTTTGTAGTTGAAAATAATGGAGGCATATCAATACTCACATTGTAAGAATATATATTTTATTCTTCATAAAAAAATGGAATGTCCACCTTTGATTTAATTAAATGTATATTATAAAATTAGGGTATTGCGTTTGCAATTAAAGTATTGAACGACACACAGTCGATATCACAAATAACGAATTGTTTGACCTCGGCTGTCAATTCAATTTACAATCTTCAACCCCGTCCGTTTTTGCTCCGTATCCGACTGATGACGTTAACAACCATTGCAGTAGTTTTGTTTGTGTTGTTGCTTAAGTGTACTCATGTGTAATCTTTAGCTACAACTCATATTTGGTTTGGTTTTAACGGACGGAAGACTTAAATACTTAACGGACAACGGCTTTTAAGGGTAACTTTTCCTTACTGTGTTCGATTGCTTCAAATCGATATTATAACATTACAGTACTGTGAAAAGTATTGAACGACACACGTCCGATATCACATGTATCGGACAATCTTCCTGGTAGAACTAGGAATTGTGTAATGTGGTAGACCACTCGGGTATATACTGTATCGGGCTGACGGCAACAACAACCACTGCGGTGGTTCCTTGTGCGTACCGCGAGGCAGGACTCGTTGGTGCCATTGATGTCGAACTCTGCGTTGTCGGGCTGGCGCTGGCGCTTGTGGCCAGTCTGCGACCAGGGGTTGTAGCCGAAGCCGCGCGGAGTCTGGTTGGTGGGCGCCATCTTGCCGCGGGTCGCCGACCAGAACCACCCGAACACGCTCTTGGGCTCCAGGTCGCGGCGGTTCTCGCAGCCCTTGAAGTCGCACAGGCGGCCCGACGTCCAGATGTATGGCACGTCCTCTGCGAGTTCAAAGACCATCGGTTGAGCATGGGAAGAGATTAGGACGTATGCATTCTGAATACTTAAGTCAAAAAACAGTAAACTGTATGTGACGTATGAGGGAGAAGATTATTTGCGCACGTTTTCTTTTGTTCCAGAATCGCTTCCCAACATTTTAACTATATACAGTTGAAAGATGAATGAAAGTTTAAAAAATAAAACATCCAAAATAAATAATAATAATAATAATTTTTAAATGCATGAAATTATCAGCATTTGAAAAACTTAACATTTTTGTTCCCGAGTTATAACTTATTTTCATTGGTTAGAGAAAAACGAATTGGCATCGGTAAACGAACTGCAGATTTAATTTTTCTGCATTGCTAACAAAATATTAACTCACCCCCAACTCTACGCCTTCCACTACAAACAACAGGAGAGCTCTACAAAACGTGCGCATAGTGAAGGTGCATTTATTATTCATTCTGAATGAAGTGATAAAATCGGAACTATGTACCAAAGTTTATTGTGTATATAACACATACTGTTCAAAATGCACACAATATATAAATATTAGTATTTAATAACACAAGCAAAAGTTTGCATAAAGAGGGGAAAAATGCCTCTTATAATTGGAAATATTAACATCTCAAGAGAACTGGATATTTCGGTAAAATTACAAGCGAGATTTCACTGTCACACATTTGAAATATCATCTTTTGATGATTGGATTACTTATTTCCTTCATTATAAATACAATGATACCGACAATCAGTTCTCATTGTAAATAGATTAATATTTCAGGACATTCGTGATACAAACATACTTCATTGGTTGAACTTTGTAGAACCCATTACACTTGGAGAGTGATTATCGAAATTTGATGAAAAGTGGCTGAGAAGAGCATGCGCATTTCTTGGGATTCTCACAAAAGTTCCAAACAATCATTTAAGAAATATAACGTGAAATATTCATAGGTAATGCCACGTATGCTTTGGAAATTGTCGATGAATCCCCGACTCGCGAAGCGAGGAGGGGATTTATCTAAGAAGTATGAACGATATTTAATAGGACTATTTTTCCGATGAAAGTATGTCCAACAAAGTTCCAAAATGCACCAAACGATGAAAATTTGAAAGTTATGTTAAAGCAGAGAGATTATGTTATAGTACATACGCGGATTATTGGATATGGACATAGCGATCCATGTACTCGTATATCGTTTCGTAAGATAGATGAGTCACAGTTTATGATTGACCAGTAGAGAGAAGCAGTAAGAAAAATCGAACAGAAAAAGCGATAAACTTTTTAAGATACATCGCCCTGATTGGGGTATTTTGTATGTATAGTTAAACACCACTGGTTTTAATTTCACGAGTGGAACAGTCAATATAATATATCCTATATCCACCGGAATTCCCAATGTTTCCTGATTTTTTTTATAATTCTGACGTAATATCATTTCTACACCAACAGACACCGTAAACGAAAACGTAACATAGGAGTCACTGAATCTCCGGAGATACTGCGGAACATGATGCAACGACTTTTCGAGTGCAAGACTTTCTCTGCAGCGCTATGCGAGCAAGAACGAATATGTAATGCGCTCTGCCCCTGGCGTTTATCGACGAGAAACTTGACGCCATCCGTAACACGGCCCGAGGCGTCCATTAGGAACGTGCTCTCCACTGTAGCACTCGTTGCATGCGACTGTTTACAAACATTGGAATGCGAAGTTTCTAATTGTGGTTTGTCTGCTGTGGAAACATTCAGACTTTTTGATTTTGCGCAGTCCATTAAGAGGAGCAGCTATTTCATTGCAGTTAATATTCATATTAATGTTATGTAACTGACATGGAGTTCCAATACTAATGTTAATTTGCCTTTTTTAATCTAAAATTGAATAGATCTTATTTTGTAAACTTCAAACATTAAATAGAAGGCTACAGTCCCACATTGCTTTGTTTATGTAATAATGTAAAGAAATGAACAGAAATTAGAACAATTTAAATGATTATTATTTACATTATTCCAATATTTATCGCATTAACGGTAAGCATTTTTTAAATAATCAGGAAAATTCGTAATATTCCGTAACACTATTTTCACTCCGTATGCATTCACATTTTGTTCGTATTTTTTGCTGGAAAATCTTTCATGTCTTTTTTGTCAGGAAACATGTATTTTAGAACCGTTACAGAAAAATATGCATTTTCACCAAAGTAGTTGTAATCGTCGTTCTGGTAAAACGTCTTTCGAAATTAGAGTTAATAAGAGATATGCCTCAAATATTTCTACCCTGAAATGATTGTCAAACATACGTCAAACGTAGATCAAACATAGGTCAAACACAGTTATAGTTAAGCATAGGTCAAACACTGTCAAACATAGGTCAAACACAATTGTCAAGCAAGACTAAATGTTCAGGAAAATCTTTCACTCTTGAAATTGCTGAATGTATTAAAAACTAAGAGGAGGCCCACAAATTACGTAACGCTAGAGGGGAGAGGGGTGTTGAGGTAGCGTAACGTTGCGTTACATAGAGGCAGGGGTATTAGATTAGTACGTATTACGTACGTGCAGTACGTAGTACGTAGTAGTAGTAAATAAGCGTACGTAATTATTTAAGGGGTTCAAGCGAGCGTTGCGGGTACGTTACGAGGTGGGAGGTTCAAAATACTCCAAATTTGTGTTACGTAATTTATGGGCGGCTCCTAAGAGGCTACTACAGGAGCTGCTCTGCGAGAGAAGATTAGAACGAGCGTATAAGCGAGGAACCCACCGTTCTGGATGAGTCTGAAGATGAGATTGTTCTCCTCTTGGCTCTCCATGGAGATGAGGTCCATGCAGTACTCGCGGCAGATGTTGCGGGCGTCCAGCCAATCAAGGCGCGAGTTGCGGTACTGCGCCTGGTGGCCGCTGAAGAAGTAGTTATGGCCCCGGAAGTTGAACTCCTTGGGTCCTGCGGACAGAACATCGACAATCAGCGGTTGGCGAAGAGCTCCTTCCCCCCCGATGGAAGGCTGTCGCAACTCAGTTTCGAGTCGAGTCGATGACAGCCGTGATAATCAATAAACTCTAGTCAATTATTGATTGATTGTTAGTGATTCTGGGCGAGTCAACTGTTAAGTTCATTATTCCCGTAAGTGTAGAGGATGGTTTTGCTTTTGGAGGTGGTGGTGATCTTTTCCCGCTTGATGGAGAGATCCGGTGTCAACCTACCGTTGGCTAGCGACATTTCCCTAACAAGGTATATCACATCAGCAGTGCGCCGCCCCCCCCCCTCCCAACCGACACAAGCTCTATGCTCCCGACCAGTCTCCCGGCACCCAAATCTAGCTTCCATGTGGCAAAATTCAGAGGAGTATAATAAGAACTCAATTCTGTAAACTGAACTCGCGGAGATTTTGCTTCTAGTCTATTTAGTCTTAATAACTGAATTAATTTATGTAAACAAAATAAGAGGTTTGGCAAGACAAAATTTCCCTTAGTGTCAAATTGTCAGTAAAAGTAAGTATAACCTCTATGAATTTAGTTATTTCTTCAAACGATTACCCTTTCGCGAATAAAAAATGTTAACCTTTCTCCCATCAATTCCTGTCCATTAATTCCTTTACATTTTTCATGTCCTAAATAAACAGGCTGCGGGTACCACCAAAACTACACAAGATCTTACGACCTGCCTTTTCTCTTTCTGAAGGAGTGCATTAAGTACTCGCAGAATCTTTCATATTCAAATTTCTCCTCGCTGCCGTGCGGTCACGGTCGGGTGCCGTGCGTGCAGGGGCATAGGGTCAGGGGCACATGTTTTCGTCGGTTCTGCTGCAGTGCTCGTAAAGAAACTGCAACATGAAAGGCTAGGGTTTTCTCTCAGCGAAAAACTTGAATTCACTTTAAATAATTAACCAAATAGAAGTACTACTACACTTTCCATTTCCACTTTCTTTCAGAGGGATATTTTAAGTTTATAAGATTATTTTTACAATAACTTCACCTATTTCCTTCTTATTTAAAAAAATTGACGATCATTTTCAACTCTTTTTAAACATTTGTGATTTGATATCACTTATTAATAAATAAGAATTTGTGTTTTTATACTATTTATTAATTTATTAGAAACCATCAAGCTCAACTGTAATGTAATCACTCATAGAGTTCAAAATGTTTTATAGATGAGAAACAAAATAACAAAATCTATTAGATTACTAATTATTTAGATTATTTCCCTGTTCTTGTCTCAAGAGGAATCATATGGAGAAGTGACGAAGTGGTCATTGATCATTTGTAGCAACAGTAGCAGAACCCGCAAACTGCCATTCGAAAAATAAAGCAGATATCAAATTTGCGGTGATCATCTCTCCTGACATAAAAGACGTTGCAATCGTTCTTTACAAATATACGAGAAAACAATAGAGTTTCTTTTGGACCTCAATATTTCCCGCAGAAATTAAGAACTTCAGACGAAACTACTCGAAAACTACGGTTTTATGGGAATAGGAGATACGTAGTTGCAGCAAGCGAGCTAATCAGCAATTCCTAACTGACCTTCACCCGCTTCTTGCGTACTTTTCGTGCAGCTACCCAGCGAGACACCTTCGCAGTTTCTGAAGAATTAAAGAGCGTCTGCACAAGTGTTTAGTGAGTGGTATACGACATGGCAGCGCGTCCCAATTCCGCAAGCAGTCAAGCGGCGCGAACGAATGCGAAATCCCGTGACCTCCGCGCCTTGCCACTCGGCGTCGAGTGAGATCACTGCATCGTGCGGAATCTCTCTAATAAAAAACAACGCGCCGTTCAGAAGCGGGGTCACGGCCGGGTCGTGCGCGCGTTGATGAGGGGCCGCGGAGCGTCGGGTCGGATTTTACAGGTTTTTTTTTTAGACAAACGGCTCAACCGAATCGGATAAATGGCACACGTGTGCAACGTACTGTATAATGAGAGGTTATTCAAGACGTTGTTCGGGTGAAGGTAGATTTATTTAGCTTCAAATATGTGAATTTGTTGCCACTGACTTGCCAAGCATTTCCAAGTCGACGGCCAGGTTCAGGCCCTTGGCATCCGCGATAAATATAGTGCAGCCAACGCAAAATTTCCATCGCATTTTACACCAAAATGCAGATAATAAAATGTTGATTTGGCTTATATTGACAAAAGTATTTCACTCGAAACTAGAGCCTTTCTAACTCGAACCACTCCAATTAGAGCCTTTCTAACTTCAACCTCTTCAACTACAACCTTTTTAACTCGAACCTCTCCAACACAAACCTTTATATCTCTATCGCATGCGCTTATTCCTCGCATTCTTAATTTATTCACGTGTTTTAACTGAGGGAAAAAGAACCCGGCGCCTAGCGGCTGCCGGCCGGTGAGAGAGAAGAAGAAGAGTAAGGAAAAGGGCAAAGGAAGAAGGAAGGAGTGGAAGGAGGAGATAAAGAAGTGGTGGAGGAGAAAGAGTTTGTTACCGTCAGCGTTCACAGCTCAGCTTTAAGGCTCTCACAGACAGGCGCGGGAGATCTGCAGCGGGTGCGACGCGGAACGCTCGGTGCTAGACGCGGCGGCGGAAACCGCAGGACCGTTCGCACCGGAGCGTCAATAATGACTCAGCGTTTGATGACAGTTTTCCTCATCCGATAAACAAAAGCAAGAGGAGCTCGAACCAGAGGGGAGCGAAGACTCGTGAAGGCGGGCGGACTTCCACGAAACTCGAGCGGCAGTGGTTGCGAAGCGTCCGACTGCGTTCCCAAATCCGCAGGCAAGAAAACGAAAAATCCACGGCTTCGATCAGATTTGAACCCGCAAACTTTCAAATAGCTTTTCGCCGGGCAGTCTCAGCGAAAATGAATCAATTGACAAAATGAATCATTTCGTGTAAGAAAACGAACGAGAAAATAAATGCAACAAAGTGCAGCGAAGGCAAATTTTTGTCCTACAATTCCTAGCTCGCATTAGGTTACGCTATGATTTTTGAACAGCGATACTCGTAGTATGAGAAGACAGCTCTATACCGCTGTCCCTTCTCGTGGGACACGCTAGCACGTTGATGCTCGTCGAGTGCACAGATATCCTGCGTGAAGTCCATGAACACACTTCTGAGCCCCAGCGTACACGAACTCGAACATAGCTATAGAGCGACATCTGAAAATAGTAGGCATCAGTATCTGAATTATGGCGTGCATTCACGTGAATTGTGTCGTCACGTGTTCTCATATATAATAATTTGTTCCTATACTTTGATTTATTTGGAGCTCACTTTAACGGACCTTCAGCTCTTACGGTGTCATCCATTCGGGAGCTTAAGCTACATCACCAAAGTGACATCACTATGGTGGCTTCCACCTCCCAACAACCAATTGAATGACACCATAACAGTTGATTTACGTCAACTGAACTAATGTTTAAATTCAGGTACTACTCTGGAGCCAGACTGTATATAACTGTCAACTCTTTATACTCTAGACACAACACCATGTCGAAAACACACTTAAACCAAATGCGAATCATGAGGATGTACCATTATGAGAACTTAGGGTTTGGACCACTACCGTGATAGTTCTGAACTCCTTTCATTACCGAAATCTTAGAATAAAAGCGTTTGAGACGGATTTAACCGTTCAAACGATACATGTCACGCGTTTGCTTTTAACGTATATCACTGTCACACGATACACTGTGCAGTGTAACAGCCTCCTTGTGAATCCTCGGGAGGCTGGCCGCCCGCCGCGTGGTGGTGGCGGCAACTTACGCAAGCGGCGCACAGCGGGCCGTCCGCGAGTCACGCGAAACGAAAAGCTGAAGGCGACGGCGGAGGCGGCGGTTACGTCATGCCGACGCCAGGGTGCGCGCGGGGGAGCGGCGGCGCCGGGCAAACACTCTCGCGGCCCCGCCC